AAAATGGATAGGCAACGCAGTGAAATTTGGACTGATTTCAACTGAATTGATAGTTCAAAGGCAGCGTGTAGACTGTGCAAGGTTAAAATGTCCAATATCAAATTTTAATTTATAATTTGTTGTGTGGTAATCAAAGCTTACTTATGTTGTTTTACTGTAAATATTTAAACACTTATAAATATGCACAATCAGAGATTGGAACTTTTTGTTGACCTTGTTTTGAGATGGGTCTTTGTTTTTGTACTTTGTAATTTATTTTTTTGTAGCACTCCATGTTGTACGCCATGTTGAGTATGTTCAGAAGAATATAAAGCCATATAAATAATAAATATTTGATATACTGTATATTTTTTACATTCGTAATTCATTTTACACATAATTTTACATTATTTTTGGGAGTAAACTAATTTAAGCAACAAAAAAACTGAGGAGCCATTTGGGAGCCGAAAGAGCCGGCTCTTTTTAGTGAGCCGAGCCAAAAGAACCGGCTCTCTAAAAAGAGCCGGAATTCCCATCACTAATATTGTAGAATGTCAAATAAAATGCTAGAGGGGGCTGCACAGATTTCTGACAGAGCTGTTGCACCACCAAGCCCTAGTGGAGCACCAGCCGTGACGTGAACAAGAATCCATAATAATGCATAGTTACTTCTGTGTTCACTACAAAAAGTGAGTATACAGAAATACAAGACTTCTTCTTAAATGAGTTATGAGATGAAACTGTGGCAGGACAAGTTAGTTAGTTAGTTAGTTAGTGCTCCAGCGAAGGTCCGGGGGTCCCGTCCCTGTGCGTTGAGCCGACCAGATGAACCAGGTTTTTCCAGTGCCGGCGGTCTTGTGCCAGCTGTTCTGCATCCTCCACAGCAACTCCTTGTTGTTGGAGGGCGCCCGCAAAGACGGCCAGCTTTTTTTTTGTGCGGGCCTTCCCTCGTGGTCGTCTCCAGCCTGCGGCCTTTGGGTCGAACTGAAGAATGGCTCGTGTCGGATGGTCTGGTGGTAGGCGAAGGACATGGCCGAACCAGCGGGTGCGGCGTTGTGCGACCAAGGAAGATGCTCGGGGCTGGCACGTGCGGGCTCTGAGCTCTTCATTGGACACTCGCTGGGGCCACCTGATGTTCTCGATGGTTCTGAGAGCTCTGCTATCAAAGCCATCGATTCTTTTGGCCAGGGTGTCGTTCAGGGGCCATGTTTCTGAGCCATAGAGCAGGATCGAGAAGTAAAGTGATATTTTATTGAACTGTTCCTTCCTTCTATTTACTGACAGTGCCACGCTGCAGCTTTGTAGTGACAGCCCAAGTATATATTTAAATTATATTCAATTAAGAGAAGCGTAATGAGTGTTTTCTACACTCCTCCATAAACTTCATCTTTACAGATGATGTAGATGATGTCTGTTGTTTGTTGTGCTAAAGGAACAATGGTAACAGATGAGGAGGAAAGAAACTCTTGCCAGGCAGAGTGCATAGGGCTCAGGCAGAACCACCCTCTGACTCACTCGCTCTCTAGCTCGCTCTCTGTCTCATCTGAAAAATTTGCATTTGAAGCCACACCCATTTGTCTCTTTTGAATGACAAACCCGAGCAGGGCATCAAGGCTTTGTGTTAAGTACAAACTACATGATCTATTCCAGCCTTTTAGTGCAGCGTTGTTCCCAATGCCACTTTTATCCCAAAGCCTGTATTTACACACACAAATTCATTATATCACAGTTAAATGCACTGCATTGTGAACTGCCAGTAAAACCAGTGGAGCAGTTAAAGTCAAGACTTCTGTGGTTGAAGAAACTCATACTATATATATAGGGGACGCAACCTTGATGCATGACTGTAATGGCGGTACTCCCTACATCTGTAGGCTGATCATGAGTGCAGGCCTATGAACCAATGTGAGCATTAAATTTGACATCCAAGGTTACTGCTGGCAGCTTTTCGCTCTGCTGTACAGGCTCGTTCATGTGGGGATCCTTCAGAAGAACTGCAGCATTGGTCCGCCTCTGGGCTTTTGATCCAGACAAGAGCAAAGCCAATCTTGTTGTTTTAACAGTGACCCAAAATGTTCGATGTCGGTGGTGCGAAGCATTAAATAGGCTACCTGTCAGACCGCAACAATTGCTTGAAATGTAAATTTTGTGACATCAGTCCTGGAACTTTTCCGATACACCTTGTACCTTAGAAGGCGATAAAATTCCTGGGCCGTGAAGTGTCAAGTGTAGGCTCAGCAGGAACATATTTAAGTAAAAAGTTGAAAGATTTAGCTCAGCGAAATTCATGTATTTTTCTTATGTCGTTTGTTTGTTTTTGTTATTCTGTTTCTTGTCTCGTGCACTGATTTGCTAGCTAACAACCAGTATGCAAAATGGCATTGGCCAATTTGCATGTTGAATCTGGCTCATTCATTTAAGTCATATTTAAGAAGCACAATGACTAGGAAAAGGCAGAAGTATCCCTGAATTATTCACACACACAAATATAGAGCAGACAAACTTAATGTAAGAGTAAAAATGTAATGCTAAAGAATTTGTGGCCACATGCATTATTTTGGGGAAATTTAACTGTAGTTGACTGTCAGTTCATGAAACGCTGACTGGATAGTATGTTAATGTTTTTTTTTTTAAGTTTGCAAGCTGAGCCAATAGGCACTGTGATGTAATTTTCAGTCGACAACACGTGCCAAAAATGGCTACCTTGAGATGGATTAAAAAAAAAGGGGGCGGGGGTCTATTTTGCTGCTTAATTCATATTCCGCAAATGCAATATTAACCCGTAGGAGGGCAAGGAACCCCCCCCCCCCCAAAAAAAAACAACTGGGGAAAAATGAGAAACCTTGAGTAGGGGCCACAGTTGGCAGAACCCTCCTTCCCCCCTCCTCCCTCTCCAGATCAGGGAGGAGGGGGAATGACGGACAAAGGAAACAGCAGTACAAACAGGCAACAAAATGCAAGCGTATATCATGAGTCTTAAATTGGGTTTTAAGTATTTCAACTGAGGTAGCTGCTCTAATTTGCATGGCTAGGGCATTCCAGAGCACTGGAGCCCAAATAGATTTGTGCTTTTGGCCGACAGAGAAGCAATGAGCCAAAATTGAATAAAAGCCAAGACAACCTGTGAGTCGACTGAAAAGACATCAGAGGAAAATCTTCCGTTTGCTGTCCTTCCATCTCATGGCATTTCCCTTTTTTTCTGAATTGTTTCAGAGTGAACATACTGCAGGATGGAAGCTGTGGATTTGGGGCAAAATGTGCAGTGATTTGACCAACGTTGTTTGAGTCATAGGTGCGAAAGGTAAGAGGCAGCTGATGACTCATAAATGCCCTCCAAATATAGTGCACAGTGGTGTTTTATTCCATGTGCAGCAAAGGTGCAGAGCACACGATGTTGTTTGTTCTCAATTTCAGGTCACCTTGTTGGTGTTTTAGATTTAAAAAATAGAGGCTTTTTTTTTTCTTTCCAGTGATGTTATGTCAATGATGCATCGGAATATTGCCCCATGCAAGAGATTCTCACTGCACCACCTCAGTAGCGTAGCATAAGGCATCATGGCCATATGAACGCATTAGTTTCCAGGTCATGGGAGAGACGGGAGCGAATCTAAGATGGGAGAACAGTGTTTCTCATATGCTCATCATAGTTTGACCAAGGAATGTCCTCTTCCTCCTGTTGACTCTCAACATAATCATTCATTGCATATTCCTAACTAATACATCCATTGGGAATACATGTGATAATAGCCGTCTTCCACCTAAATTACAGGCCAAGTTGCCCGAAAAGCCTGTATTCAATTGTCATCAGAGTACCTTTACTGAAATGCAAGGTCATTTGGGGGGCCAGCAAACTCAGTCAAGGGGCCCTCAAAAACCTTTCATTTTCACTATTTTGGTTGACTGGCAACCATGCGCTTGCCATAAAACTGGG